TTTTTAACAAGCATGATAGAGAGAGGTAGTTTTATGGCCGGAGCGGGAGCCTCTAGGAGATGGCGGTGATGCAAATCAATTGGTAGTCAGTACTAAGAGCCACGAAGATTATCGATTGGCTACGGGGATTGAACACACGGTAAGGATTTCTGTTGTCCATTTACAATGTGATGATGGGTCAAAGTGGGGACGGTGAAGGTGTAGGTTTTATTAAGTGCTTTGCTTTGTAATAATAACAATGATGCTTCTGGATGTGACCGAGGGTAAAACCTGGGGGCCAATATCAATGAGTTCTTCACGTGGGGAGTTAATTATTTTGAGGATGGGATGTATCCATGAATTAGAATGAGAATTAGTGGTTGTTTGAAGGACTTGTGAATAATCAATTGTTAGGTATGATTTTTCACTGTTAAGAATCGACTATTAATGAGTTAACAAGTACGTGCTCCGTTATCCTCCCAATCCTTTATAGATTTTCCCCGTGAGAACATGCACAATTGAAAAAAGCTAGATCTCTGCGCAATCCTAGGAAGGCCTCTTTGGTCATTTTGGACCAATAATTTTTCTACCCTACAATTGCAATCTCTCTTCCGGTGCTTGAGTTTGATTCCTCTTCTATTTGAGTTCCGCTAGAATGTATTATGGGCTTGGGCGCCTTGCCTTAATTTTATACTTGGACCACTTATCATACAAGTATATGTAAAAGAAATCTATAGATTAAAATCATACACAAGTCGATTAACTCTTTATCACCTCACTAAAATTCACCAAACTCATCAATTTAGCTACCACGTCACAACTAACGGGATGTCGGATGCAAAGTTAACGAACGGGATGGCAGATGAAAATTTAACGATTCAGTTATTATATTGTATTTCAAAAGTTCTAACTATTATTTTGCCAAATTATAAAGGTTTGGCTACTTAATAATTTTAGTCCAAATAATTTTAAAAAAATTCATTCATTCTTTGTTCGTTGTATTATGATTAAAGATTTTGAATTGCCTAATCAAAATGATTGTTCAATATAAGGTGGGTGCAAAAACACCATCTAAATCTTGAATAGTAAATTTTGGAGAGTTGTACTATCATCTAAACCCTAATGAGTAAAAACTATGTGCTACTTTTCTAAATCCTAGGTTTTTTGGTAGTAAATTCAAACGGTAGTTTATTTGGGTAATTTGCAAACTACGAATTTGATTTATGGTTGCGATGGAATTTGGGTAATCTATCTTAAAAAAATTCACACAAGTCATTACTGCCACAAAACTTGAATGAAATTGTAAGTGACTAATTCGAGTGATCGTTATTGAATGAAAACATACTTGAATTACTCTTTTGAAAACTAAGTGGAAATCATTTACTTACTAATATATTGATGGGACTCCATTAACTTAGTACAACTGAACCAAAATTTTGGATCTCCTTGGTATAAATGCTAACAATTTGCTTTCTAACCGGTTGTGATGGTCAATAAATGATGATTTAATTTGTTGAATAGTCTCAATTATCTATCAGTCAATCCACCAATATTATTGGTTTAAACTCCTAACTTCCAAGATTACATGACTTCGCTCAATGAAACAGTTACATGGTTGCTTGACGTATTTAAGATATGATAGTAGTTTGAGTACATTGCTCAACTAACTATTGACAACCAATTTGCAAATTGTTCTACCTCATTCATCTGATGTGTGCAGCGTGTAATTCCGAATTTATACTCCGTGCACTGATCAATAACAAAGATGACTATTGAGGAAAATATTTCATGGATACTCTAAACTTCATCAAAGGAAAAACTATTTTTTTATTGCGAAGATCTCATGGAAAACAACTGTTATGTTGTTCTTTACCACTTTTTATAGGGATAATATTTTTTTCACAAATATATAGTTGAATTAGAGTGTGAATATAATGTATATATAAGGTATAAGTATTCTATTTGACATGTTTTTATGCATTTTTTGGTATTTAATTTTATAACCTTATTTTTCTAAATTATTCATTGACAACCTCCCGAAGAAAACAGTCAACCGAGCATTTACAATATATAGATAAAAATGAGCTACTTGCTTATCACACTAATACCTCTAAGTTGAGTACACCTCAATTTCATTATCAAACTCTTCGAGCCCAATGAATCATACTCTCCCGCCAACGGACGGGGCCCTGTGCTAGTAGTTAGAAATGGGAAAAGAAAAAGATGGGACGAGAAGACTCTCGAGCAGAGTTTATCAAGGTGACTTCAACGATCAACTAAGCTGAGTGTAAAGGTGGTAATATCTCTGTCGTTGGTCTTTTAGTTTATGTCATTCAAGTTATTATTTAGTTAATTTTTAAGTAATGCGCGATATGTGTGTGAGGCATCCCACCGCCTACTTAAGATGGAGGCACGCGTTGTGCTATGTATGAATGTATGATTGTAATAGTTGTTTGTGTGTAAGATGAACCCCCTGGCAGTTAGGCCATTACTGGACGCGGTAGATGGTCAGATCACTGTGGGACGGCGAGACGTAACGCAGCAGTTGATCGAGTATGTTGGGGTCACTACTAGATGGCGAGATATAACACAGTAGTTGATCGGACATGGACTGGACGGCGAGACATAACGCAGTGCCATTGTCGAGTTTGGGTATGCAACCGGACGGTGATACGTAACGAGGGATGCATACTAAGGTAGGGACACCAGACGACGATACATAACGCGGTGGTCCCTAGTGTTTGGTGTCTATGGATTAAGGACATAAGTAAAGAAATTCGATAAGATAAGATAGGAGTAAAGATCTCTTATAGACTAGTTTGAGAATAAAGTATAAAGGATGAAAGCGAGAACGACTTTCGTCTAAGCCAGGAACCCTAATAACGCGTTTAGCAGGGAGTTTTCCTAGAGCAAAGACCTTAGGAAGTAACGACGAGATTGACCCCTTCTCAGTCACCAGGTTGAGGAAGGTTATGCGGTGGCAAATTCCGAGAAGAGTCATTGCGAGGCGAGTAGCCGCACCAGCATTTGAAGGGGTTCCCAGAAGCTCGACGAGGAGTTAGAGTTAGAACTAGTTTCATTATTTTTGTTCATGATTATGAGTATATAAACTGGAGATTCGAAGTTTTGAGTTTGAGTGATCTTGTTGACCATGGATTGAGGTCGCCCTACTGTTTAGGGCATTTCTTTTGAATTTCTTTTGAAAAAGATTCGGCTGCATTTGTTTTATTGAAGTTTTTTAACATTATTTTGGTCGGCTCCGGAGCAATGGGTATTTCGTTTTAATTAAAAGGATCAGATCGTTTCATGAATAAAGTCTCCCTTCATAGTAGCAGTAACAACGTGTGTATTTCCTCTCTCTTTTTTCTTCCTTTTCACAACAGTAAACGACGTCGCTTTGTTTGAGTTTGGACCTTTTTAAACGATTGACAAAAGCTTATAAAAATGTCTCAAAATTGCGGTTTTATCGATTTTACTGATTTTACCTAACTTTGTATATTGAATGTTTTTAGGTAAAAACTAGTGCATTATTGCGGTCTAGATACCTAAAAACATATGTTTTTACGTTTTAATCCGTGATTTTAACTACACTGATGGTGATAGGAATATATTAACCATCATTTATCACTTATCATCATTGTCTACCAGCAGTCACTACCCATAATAGGGTGGTATATTTGGTCCTGAAAGTTTTATCCAGAAATTCGTAGATCCAATCGAGCATGATGAACTCATTACTTCTCGATAAGATTATTCAAAATTCGAGTTAAAAACGAAGGTGGTAATAGGTGGTAACAAGGGGTATGAGTTTTTATTGATCAAAATATATTGAAAATGAATCTCATTTGTAGATCACAACGAAGTTCCATTTATAAAATAAAATTAAAATGAAAATTATAACAAATAAGATAAAAACCAACTAAAAAATAAAAGAATTATTTATTTTCAACTATAAGATTTGATGCCACTTAAAATCAAAAGCACAAATCTAATTACACAATATTTATGCAACCTAAAGTTATTCCTTTTCCCAATGCCCAAGCCCAAGCCCTACCATACTTGTTAAGGTTGTAATCTCAAATGGGCTCGTCCCGGCCATGGAAAAAGTGAAACGGCAAACAAATAAAATAGACAGCGGAAAGCATCAACGTGACAAACTGGCTTCCAGGGGCCTTCTTGTAAGTAGGCACAAAACTGTGCAACGAAACCAAAGAGAAGGAAGAAGAAGAAGAGATGATTTGGAGTCGTCAATTCCTTTGTTGGGTACCACTGCTTCTTCTTTTGGTCGAAGATGCCAAAGCATCCAATTCAGCCTCTGGTTTCGTACAGAATGTTATCTACTCCAACAGGATCGTCATCTTCTCCAAATCCTACTTCCCGTATGTATGCGCTTTCTTCCCTTGCCGTCCCTTCCACCTCATGTATCTCTCTTGTATCTTGGCTTCTTCCATTTCCTTCCAACTGATTTTGATCATCCTCTTGTCTGGGTGAACAAATCGTCGAAATTCAGGGTTTTGTGACTTAAATTTTGAGGTTTTGAATTTGGAATTCATGATTTTCTTTCTGCAACGATTGAGAGCAATTTATTCTGCCCTGCTGTACATCTTGACCAGGTTTTCAGTAAGAGCTAAACGAATCTTGAAGGAATTAAATGAGAAACCGTTTATCGTGGAACTTGATCTTCGAGGTAATATTGGTTTTTGCTACCGTCAATCGGTTTAGGCACAGGAAGCACGAATTCTGACCCAGTAATGGTGCTTTGTTTCTATCAGATGATGGCTCCCAAATTCAGGACGTTCTACTGGAAGAAGTAGGTCGTCGAACTGTCCCTCAAGTGTTTGTGAACGGGAAGCATATCGGTGGCTCTGATGGTTTGTGCACTTGAACCTCTTGAATTACCATTAAACAATAACTTGTTATTCTTATGCACAATTTACTTACTTACTTACTTACTTACTTACTTACTATGTCACTTTGGTATTCAGATCTTAGCTCGTCTCTCAGTCTCAGGAGTGGTCAATTACAGAAGCTTCTTGCCAACGACTGATGGAATACCCAGTAGGAGGCCAGACTATGGTTGTATAGTAACTTGATATGGGTCTTTTCGTTACTTCTTAGTTTATCACAAGAGGTCAGGACAGGGTGAATTAAGTTGTCTTTTCTCTACCAGCTTCTGGTTTAGTCTTGGTAAAACTTGGTATTCCCTGGATTGTTCTTCTTGGAATGTGTTCGTTAATGGAAATGGGGAAGTTTGAATCCGCCAGTTTAGTTGTCCGTTTATGCAATCCAATGACCAAGTTGATTTCTGGATGAGATGCTCCAAAGTAAATGGTGACCACATTGCCACAGAGCTATGAGGAACTGGTTTCTCTGTTTTGCTTTTATTTGTTCCTAAAACTTTCTGGTGGACATATCTACGTACAATTAAATGATCTTGTTGAATGAGCTGGACCTGGTAACTTGTATCTATGATTTCTGTAGAGCATGCTCCGGAACAAGTTGTGGTTGTTGAAATTTTGTACTAGTGTAAACTACCCCTAAATTTTACCTATAGCCGCGCGTTCTAGTATGACCATTTCGTGTTCCAGTGCCAAAAACTTGCAGGCAGGCTGGCTTTTATCTTTGTCTACCATCCAAATTGTGCTGGTTATGACGAAAGTGAAAAGTTCTCTGGCCGCCAGTTGCCTTTCTGTGCACTGAGGACTTGTTTGTCATTGGTGTTGGTAAGATGAAGTTCCCAATGCAGAGACTTGAGTATGTTCTCCACTTCCCCTATTGTGCTCGATTCATCCCTAACGATGAAAACACCTCCTGGTCTCAACACTCTGTCAACTTCTGCTAGTACAGGTACCAGTTTGCACCTGGCAGCAAAAAAAAATTGTATTCAGTCAGTCATGTATCAAGTTTCAGGATTCTTCTTATTCTGTCCGTTAATTGTTTGAGAGAGAAAAAAAAATGCAAAAACTGTTGTTTAACCTGGTTTTCAACTTTGACAGGAGATGATCAGCATGGATGAGATCGTAGGTCCTAGGGTAAGTGCTGAAGGATTCACACCAGTCATGGTAGATTCCGAACAGCCCTCTCTCAAATATGATTGGAAGTGTGTCTGGAGAATCCACATTAACCACGTTCACCACCCAAACTTTGATATCCTTGAGAGCTGCTGCGAAGCTACACAAGCCAACCGAGAGATGGATCCCATTCAAAGAGCTCAGTATCATTTGCGGATGTTAATAACGACATACACTTTCTTATCTGATTTTTAATTAATCGTTTACCTACTTACCCACCATACACAGCTCTCATATCCATTACATTTCTCACGCCATTCCAATTGATCCCTAGTCCTTTCATGTACGAAACAGTGACCACGGTTTTCCAGTGCTGATAATCTGCTGTGAAGTCCTGAGGTGCTGGTTTGCCGTAGATCCCCATTTGGCTACTGTTCAGCCAGTAAGGTGGTTTCTGCAACCTGTGTGGCCAGTCATCTGGCCATCGAGTGCCTCGAATGCTTGTCTCTGAAGGCACTCTATGCATGCATGCCTGCAATGGTACGGACCTGGAGTAGCCATTGAAACCTGAAACACTTTAGTTATACATTCATTTTTGCATTCCCACCGTTTGTACGGAAAATCTTTCTTTACCATGCAGCGTTTGGATCATCGTCATTTGTACACATTGGAGGAACATTCTTTTTCCTCTGGTCATAGCAATCGTTGGTGGTGGGCTTGCGATATATTGCAGCTCCGATCTTGTTGAGTTTGTCTCTCTTGATTGTCACAAGATCCCAGCACATGGAGACTGTTAACGCCGACATTGCTGGGGCGGGGGACAATCCCAGTTCAAAACCTTGATTGTTGTAAGAATTATTAAGATTAACTGTGTTGTTTTTCTAGGTTTACCTTGCCATATCTCGACATCCTCCTTCAGCTTTTGGTATACAGGAGTTGCTGACCAGACAAAGTAGCCTCCAGGGCGCAGAAGGCGGTTTAATTCGAGAAGCAACAACCCACCTAAAAGCAAAGCAAAGCAAGTCACTTGAGCATGGCAAGGTGGTTGCCGAAATGCAAAAAATCAAGTTGAACAAGGGAATTAGCTAGAGCGATGATGGATTGATTACCTTCATTATGCCAAGGTACCCTGCATCTTGCGCAGTGAATGAGATCGAAAACGGCACTTGGGAAGGGTAGACGTTTAGATCCCATCACGGCAGATATTGCTGGAATGCCTCTCTCCAATGCGAACTGAACCTGAGCTTCGTGTTCATCCTTGGGCGCAAACGACATTGTAAGAACATCTCTCTCGAAGATGTACCCACCGAAGCTGGCAACTCCGCAACCAACATCCAAAATCACCCTCGTGCGTTTCCCCCACCCTATCTTTGGCACTGCCTAAGAAACCAGCAAAAAAAAACCCCACAAATCGCTTCTAGTTGAGGAAAAGAAGAATATATATAAAGTTGACTTCAATTCAATCTATTTATTTTTTATACATAATTACCCGTTGCAGGAAATCTATGTAATGCAGGGCACCATGGATGAATTGAGTTCCACCGCCGGGGAATGTTAAGAACTCGCCCGTGACCTTAACCCAGTTTTGATGTCCCTTAACTTGCGCCAATTTCGTGTGAGGCACATTGTGGTACCATATCTACCAAAAACCACAATTACAACAACTATAGGTACAATAAAATGTCATAGTTTATATTTTAATTTGAGGGGTAATAAAATATATAATAATAATAGATTAAAAAAAATAAAGTGAGTTAGCAGGAGTTGCTGCACAAGGTACCTTGTCTCTGCTACTTGGCCAAGGGATGGGCTTCTTATACCCATCCGGAAGAGCAACCAAGCAAGTTGGGGGTTCCTTGGGGCAGTGCCTCTCTCGATGCTCAAAATGACCTGTAGTTCTTAGTTTTTTCAATGCCTTGTCGTTATCCAAGCAAGGAATATAGTCAGGCCCAGCGGTCACATTACAGAGCTGCCAATTGTCGCTGTCTTGACCTTTAGTCTCATCTTTCTGCCTCTCCTTCTGGTTTTCCGACTCGCTCGCCTGCGTTGACCATGACTTCTTTGACTCTTTCGACTCCTTGGGTATTCCCGACGACACCTCCTTGGACTTTTCAGGATTCTCTAACTTGTTGTTCTCCACCTCTAGCACTTTATTATTATTGGTCACCTCGTGCAATTGGCCCTCGTTGGGCATTGCAATCATCTCCGGCTTATTTCCAACCTCCTCATGTTGTTGTTGTTGTTGTTGGTGTGGCGTCGTTTCTACCTTCTGAGCATCTTGCATTTGTTGTTGTTGTTGTTGCATCCTTTGCGCTTGATCCTCCTCCGTCACCTTATTCTCCTCCGCGGGAACCACATGATTCTGAATTCCAGCATCCTCCCTGCTTTGCTGCTGCTCCTCAAGCACTTTCGCTTCTGCTGCTGGATTGCCTTGTGCACTCCCCTGATTTTTATGATCTGGAATAACAGCAGCAACAACTTCTTCTGCTGACGATGTGATCTGAGGCTCCTCCGAATTCGCCACCTTCTCAGCCTCGACTGCCTTCTCCTCGGCCATATGTGCTTCCACTACAGCTTCTTTATTATTGTTATTCTGTGTCGTTTCTTGGGAAATGACTTGTTGATTGACACTTTGTGCGGTCGTCATCGTGCTCTCCTCCGAAATCTGAGTGTGTTTATCCCTCTCCTCGCTGCTAGATCCCTTTCCGCTCTCACCTTGGTGGTTCTCATCATTTTTTATGGCATCGGCGGGGAGGTCTCCCGGGTTGTCCTCAAATACCGACTGCTTCTTGCCATTAGTGACGACACTACGCTCGACATTTTGGGGTTGCTGATCGGCAACTTCTGTTGCCACAGTATCGGATTCGACGACGGTGGCTCCCTTGCTTGCGAGGTTGGTGGTCTGTGGAGGCCCCACGGAGGTGGAAGTGAGCATCCATGCGCCAAGGACGCATAATGCGATGAAGGTGATGGTCGTGACGGTGGAGGTGTAGGAAGAGGGAGAGGATGAGCTCCGCTTGCCGGGCCGTGAAGACCGTCCTCCGATTGCCATTTTCTAGGCTTAGCTTTGTTTTTTAGTGCATGGGTTAAATGGTGGGGTGAAGAAGGGGTATGTTAAAAAGAGTAGCGGGGAATGGGAACACATTGAGTGGAAGGAGAAGTTTCAGCAGAGTTTGTGGAGGGTGAGAAGAGAGAGACCTTTGGGAAAACTTGGAAAAGTAGCTACTTCTTTTCTCTATTGTGGGAGATCCGAAAGAGTCGGAAGACAAGGGGTGGGTGGTGTTTTTTTCTTCATTTTCCTATGGTTTTCTTGGTACAGTTCTGATGAGAAGATTACTATGGAATGTGGTGTAGAAATTGTATACATACCATTACACCTGTCAATCCGTCATGAATTTTTGTTTATCCATTTCGGTTAGGTTGGGTACAAAACCACACTCTAATATAAATGGGTCAAGTTTTAATGGATTGATTCATATTAAACTCTTAAAAGAACAAGTATAAAAGCTACTGTTTCATATAGTCACATCCACTGGGTGGCTCTTTTGTAATGAACCATTAACCAAGGCTTTACTGAGGACCAAAAACATAATTAAGTTCTCTTTCTTTGTTCCTTCTCATTCTCTCTCCTGCCTTTATTCCCATGCATTCATTTTCATTATTCTCGTAACTCCTCCCACCCACCATCAATCTTCATCTGTCCCTCTCTCTCTCTCTGTCATTGGAAGAAGACGCAGGAAGAGGAAGAATCAGGAGAAGAAGAAAAATAAGGAAAAACCTGCTCACCTCCATCTTTGTGTGCCTGTGAATGATGACGATGGTGCGATGACAAGGTTGGCAAAGGGCGCCAGTGATGGTTCTCGCGACAGGTGAAAGCGGTTTCCGTTTTGCATACTGTGTTTTTGGCTTTTGGGATTTTTTTGCCTTGAGTTCTCATTGCTGCTTATCTTTTATTATGGGACTTTTCCGATCGGAAAGAATGAAGTGTTTCGCCGGCCGACGTCGGCGATTGCTATGCTAGTGGAAACAGGGCTTGCCTTCAAAGTCGGAAAGCTATCAACAAAGATTGGCATAATATAGTAAACATGTCCCGCCTCCAAAGTCCGACAAGTATCAACGGCGACCAAGGTAAGTTGTTTTTGAATTTGTTTGGGTTTTTTTGAAATTGTTGGTTCCTGCTATGTGATCAGAATTTTTCTTTTGTGTTTTTTGATTTGGACAATAGGCAGATAATGGAGGAGCTGTCATTATTCTTGATTCCCTGAAGAAGCAGAGGAGACGAGGGCTAGCCACGACTCTCTACCACTCTCAAGGCAAGCTTTTCCTTTTTCTTTTTGGGGTTATGTTATGTTTTAAATCGTGTACGTACTCTTCTTTTTTTATTTTCTGGATTTTCAGCTCTAGGTTTTTGGGTCCTTGCTTCCTTTCTAAATTTGGTTCATGATTTTCTTGGCAGAGGGAAGAATATGGGAGGGATGGTTTAGCAGAAGAGGCAAAGCCATGTAATTTAAATTTTGCAAGTCTTCTTTTAATTTGACTGTGTGATGGGTCCATGTTTGGTTGAACCATGGTTATGGGTGTTCTACCTTAACAAAATATCATATTTGGGGTCTTGGTTTGATCCGTGTGCAGGTCGTTCTTGCTGTTAATGTTTTCGAAGCTCCAGGATAAACAGGTCTACTGGTCTTCTCTCCTCACGCCATCACGCGACGCAAGGAGAAGTTCTCAACGTCGAGATCGTCGTGGCAAGATCATACCATGGTTACTGTATTATGCCCCCTAATTGGTTTGAATGGTTAGTTTCTCTTCTATATGTTGATATTCTTCCATTAATTTTAGTATCTGCGTCTTTGCTCTTTTTATTTAGTGATTTTGTCTCTTTTTCATGTTTGTTTCCTTTGTTATTTTTGACCTCAAAGCAGAGCTTGCCTCTTGAATTCGATCTCGATAATGGTGATGGAATCCATGCTAACTTGCACATATTGACTAATACACCCTATAATCACATTAAAATCAAATAGGAACGAAATAGGAATGTATATGACAGTTTTTAAATGCTTAAGCATATGAATTGGCACAAAACATACCCTAAGATGGAGGGTAAATAAAACCATTTTTGGTGTTACCAGCCGCTAATTCAAACACACTAAAAAACCAATCAAACAGAGACAACATGCAGGGACAGTGATATCCAATCAACCACTTGAACTCTTTACTGAATCACAAAAAGTGAAAATAAGGAAAAGACAACAAACCGATGTTGGATTGCCTCCCAACAAGTGCTAGTTTAATGTCACTAGCTCGACGTTGCAGATCTATCATGCTTGAGAGCACGAAGCAAACGAAAGTGGATCCGCCATGGTCTTAGGGCGAGGATTGTCACCTCCCAACTTAAGCTCTATAGGATGGCCCTCCTGGCCAATTACCTTCACTTTTCCCTTATCCTTCTTGCGGACATAAGCGCGACTCATCTTTCCTCTAAATGATCCTTTTTTTTTTCTTCCTCCGGGGTTGATAACCTCAATTTCTTGTTTCATGTCACCACAAGGAACAAGGGTAATGGTGAGGTTCGCCTTGAGAGGCTCACCTCCACTTCCAATCATACCACTCGAGTCCATTTCCTTCACATCATCATTCTTAGCCTTATGTCAATTGAAAGACTGAGTTGCTCTTCTCCATCTCTCAAAATAAATGTTCCCTCATTAATATCGATTAAGGCCTTGGCGGTGGCAAGGAAGGGGCACCGTAGTACGAGTGGCAAATCCAAATCTTCACTGATATCAAGGATAACAAAATCCGTCGGATAATAGAATTTGCCCACTCTCACTAGGAAGTCCTCCACAACACCACTAGGACTAATGACAGAGGGATCGCCAATGTGACACTAAACCTAGTAGTCTCTAATTCACCCAAATGCAACTTTCTAAAAAGCTTGTTAGGCATCACATTAACGCTTGCTCCTAAGTCCTCCAAGGAGTTTTCTATATGATGATTTCCGATGCAAAGAGGTATAGTAAAACTACCTGGATCCAGTTGCTTATTTTGGCTTCTTGGCGAGAAGCCGCTTGAGGTATTTGGCATACCATGCACCATGGCTTCCAAGAACGGAATGGTGATGTGGAGTGATTCATGCCTAATTGTACACTTTTTATCCCCGATTCTCTTTGATGTTTGTTGCAATTGAACTAAAAAAAGGTTGGTTTTACTCGAGGTTGCTTGTGTTTCACTGTGTTTCATATCCTAATAGGTAAAAACAAACCCGGAGTCGAAAGCTGGAAGAAAAGAAGCGAAGATCGGGCAAAGAGGTGGTGACAGCCGCTGTTCACTGCCAGACGTTGGAGTTCACGGACCGTGAACTGGAGCCATGACACGTGAAGCGATGAGAAAACAGAGAGGGTTTTCAGGTTACTGGCGCCCAATCAGTTCACGGTCGTTAAGACCGTGACCCGAGCAAATGAAGCGGTGAGTTTTGGTCACACTACTGAGTTCACGGACGCGTTTCAATTTTCACGACCGTGAACTGGGCACGATCTCCATTTAAAAGACTTGCTGAAAGGAATAAGAAAGGGGGATAAAGATCTAGAATGAGAAACTTCTCCTTCTTTAGATTTTAGAGTGAGAAAGTGACGAACCAAAGAAGTGGAAAAGCTAGGGTTTCTTATCCAAGCAAGGTTTCGGGAATCTCTTCCCCAAAGGAGGATTTCTTCAGCACATGGAGCAAGGATTGCATCTTCTTGATGGTTTCCCTTTCCCTCTCTTGTGTTTTCCCTTCTCCTAGCATGGAGTAGTCCCATCTTTCACTTGGGTGTTTGTAAACCCTAGCTACAATTGTGTGAAAGCCTATCAATCTAATTGTCATTCTAACCTAGCTTAGAGAGGAGACTTCTTTAGGTTAGGAGGTTCATTGGGTGTTCTTGGGCATTTCATGTCTCCTAGGCTAGTTTAGAGAGGAAACCTCCTTTACCCAAGAGCAATTTCACACTTCTGGCGAGCAAAACCCAAAACCAAGCACATATCCATTCTCCCCTCTTCAAAGGCGGCATTCACCGAGATTTTGTGGAGATTTGGAGCACATTTTTTCCCGGTGAAGTTGCCGCCGGCGAACCTCCGATGAGAGTCTGGCGAGCTTCCGACGAAGCTCCGCCGACCTTCTACAGTCTTTTTTTAGGCCAATTTTCACCGTCCTGGCCCTCACCTCACTTCATCCTACTTTAGTCACCAGGTTGGTTTTCAGCTCTACCTTATTTATTTTGAGAGAATCAGATTTGGTAGTGAAGTGAGGAGAATTTTAGTAAATTGATTGTTGAACTTAGCAAAGGGCGAGGAATTAGGTGAATTAGGATGATTGAATGATGTTGCTTGAGCTTATTTGAGCCTTGGTGGGCATATTTTAATTCGAATTGCTTTTATGTGTGAAATTTGCCAACCAACTGCTAATTGTTGAATGATGAGAAATATTTTGATTGAGTGGTGATTGATAGCAACCATGGCATGGTTCGGGTTTGAATTTTTGTGTAAGATAATCCGTGACCACCTAGAATCATGCCGCGGTGCGCTTAGGCTTAATTGTCTTGATTAGCATGGATCCGTACTAGGAATTTAAGTGTTGGGGGAATTCTTTTTCCTCCCAATGAGTTGTGATTGACGTTTATTTCCATGTATGGTGCTTGTTTGTCGATTTTGTAGGAAAGTCAGCATGAACCACCCATATCTTGTGGCACTGAGAGGGAACCCCAAAGCGGAGAGGGAGATGCGATGCGATGCGATTTTTCCTTAAATTAACCTAGTTAGGTGGCTTAAAAGGTGAAGGAAAACCAACTCGATTGAGTCTCCCTTGGAAGGGGGATTTTCCTCTCTAAGCGAGGTTGAGGTGGCTAATTAGATTGCTAGCACCAACATGCACAAACCTAAGGGTGCTAAGCACAATTATGCACAATCCTTAGGTTTCTAAGCACCATAATGCACAAACCTAAGGATGCTAAGCACAAAACATGCACAACCCTTAGGTTTCCAAGCACAAGCATGCACAATCAATCATGAAAAATACCTCAA